GGAACGCCCCGGACCAGGCACAACACTTCTCCCAACGCCCCCAAGGACAGAGACGCCGCCAGCCGCCTTCAAAGAGGCAAAGAACAACCACAGCAGAACGACAACAACAAGATGAAAGAGACCAAAATCGGGAACATCTGGGGTAACACCACACGAAGACAGAGTCGGTAGTCTCCGCGGGACCCATCCATCAAACACTCACACTAATCTCCCAGGCACCGTCACCTCCAAAATCAAAGGAACTATACCCACTCTTTCTCCGAAACGACGGGAGTACGGGTCTATCGGGCCTCAAGGCGAAACCTAGGCCCCCTCGGCGCTTGCTGCAGGACTGCACTGCCACGGTCATTGTTCACGACATTCAAAGAAGGGCACATGGACGATGTACACAAATTGGGACTACTCCATATCATATGGAAGTGCCCCTAGGCGGCAGGTGCCGAGAGGGACGGACTGCTCACAGGTCGTATAATCAGCTAGTAATTTATGTTTGTTTCGCACATTCTGTATTACGCATGATTGCTACCAGATTTTGTTTGGCTGCCCGAGATCACTGTTAAACGCCCCCTTCCCGAGGGTATTAGCCCACTGACATGGGTATACCAGGGTACCTAGCCCGGGGAGGGGTAACGGGTTGCTAAGACACCAGATCTCGGAGGGGATGGGGAAAAATGGGCATCAAGACACCTCTTACTTACCCAAATGATCCTAGGGAAGGGAGGGAGAGGAGAAAAAAAAAAAAAACTCAATACATACCCAAGACCTGGGACCAATCAGCAACTTAGGGAACCGCGGAGGTCCCGGCCACTGCAACAACTCACACCTTCACCATTAATTATTCACATAAACAATTAGTGCCGACACACCCGGAAAACAATGACCTAGTACAATTCTATATTTACTACAAGTCCTGCCAATAACACTCCCCAAACAGCTGTTCGACATGATACGCCACATTTTCACCTCATTCATCTGGGCACACAAAAAACCACACCTACCGTATGCACTACTTAAACGACCGAAAGAGGAGGGTGGTCTGGGGCTCCCAGACATCGAACTATACCATAAAGCTTCCCTTCTGGCCAGGATCTACGAATGGTCCAACCCGCACCCAGACACCCAATGGGTCCAACTAGAAAACGCATGCTTCTCTGCACCGATTTACACCATCCCCTGGCAAAAATCGGGCCTAACACTGCTTAGAACACAGGGCCACCCCACCATCACCCCGACACTCCGGCTATGGGCGCACATCCGCAACCTCCAAGAGGTATCTCCATACCCTTCCCCTCTATACCCGATCACACACAACCCTCTCTTCCCCCCGGGAGTGGACGGAAAACTTTTTAAGCGCCTTCGCGAACCATCACATTACCTAACGTTAGAGATGGTCGCTAAGGGGGACAAGGTCAAAACACTTAAGAAAATGTTCCCCGAAAGGGAGGTCACAGTGATTCACACCTTCTGCCATACCCAACTTACACACTTCCTGACAAAGGGTCCCCTAGCGCAGGGTAAAGTCAGAGATCACACTTTATTTGAAACGATATGCCAGAAACGCAAAATTCAAAGGAAACTAATCTCTAAGATGTACGAGTTCCTCCTTTCAGTTCAACCCAAAGACAAGCCTAAGTTCGCTACAACCTGGGAATCTGAACTCAATACATCCTTCACACTAGACACTTGGAAAAAAATCTTCACCATTATACATAAATCCACTCGGAACACCGAGGCGCAAGAGTGTAATTATAAGCGCATTGCACGATGGTACTACACCCCGGTTAGACTCCACACCATTTTCCCCCGAACATCCACATGCTGCTGGAGATGTCATCAACCCAACAGCACGGCAACCCACATCTGGTGGACGTGTCCGGAGGTAAAAAAGTTCTGGACACGTATATCAGGCATAATCCAAACAATTATAGGAGAAGCTATCGCACTAACCCCTGACACCTTTATATTTCTCCTCCCGCCCCGCAACCTGCCCAAAACGAAGGTGCATCTACTAACGCACATGCTCACAGCTGCTAACCAACTAATTCCACTGTTCTGGAAAAAACCCAATGCACCAACCATCAGGGACTGGATACAAAAAGTGGAGACCACGAGAAGTATGGAAGAAATATGCTACTCCTTCTCAGACACATACACCACCTACACAGACACATGGGCTGGGTGGTGCGAGTACATGCGATCCACGGGCGCTCAAACGAGAGACAATCAGCCCGGCAACATTAGATCACTATCAGGGGGGTTAATGTAAACCGCTAAACAGCGAAACCAATACATACGCCACTACTGACCAGACTGAAGTTGACACAAAACCCTACAGGCAAGTCACACGAAATCAACGAAAAACAGTTAAAGAGAGATTCCCTCTAACAAAATAAGTAGGGAGTGCACCCTAGTATACTGAGCAAGGCCCAAGACCAACAATTCCCCTTACCAATCCCCAGATCACAGCAGACACTCTCCGGCTTCTTTAGATCCCCTATGTGTCGGCAGCAGTGTTAGCAATGTTCAGCTGCTTAGAATAGGAGTTTAATCATACTGTTATGTATTTCAAACTGTTTAGTAGAACACTGTCTACTCGGTGATGTGGTGAACACCTGGTGAACGACAGCCAATGTAAGAGTTTCTCACGCACAAAGCCGATAAAAAACGACAACCGTACACTCTGTTGACAGTATCCATAAGATTGTTACGATACCTACTCAACCACTGTTCTCTGTACGGCACTTGTCATGCTTTTGTAAAATCATACATAATTGTAAAATGAAAAAATAAAGAAATATAGAAAGAAAAAAAAAAATTAAGTAATTTTCTTAATTACAATTTGCAGGGACTGTGGGGATATTTATGGGATAATAATAGTAAACAGTTGAGAATTGCCCACTAATTCAATTCTCAGATCCCAAAGAACGTTTATCGTGTTAAGTGGAAAGTATTTCATATAAATAATCACAATGTATAAAAATAGATTTTTATTTATATGACAAATTAATAATAATAATAATATTATATGTAACATGCATAACAATAATCAATGAATATTCAGTATAAAACGATATGCAATACAAAGAAATGGGTATTACGTTTCAATGGCTAAACGGCATTTTCTGTCAAGACTTCTACGATTTATGACTAGCTTTCACAGACTGAAAGTGAAACTTTTCACAGGGAAGAACAGAATTCCTCAGAGTGCAGCGTAAGGTCGTAAAGTTTAGCAGACAGTTAGAATAACCCTTTCAATGCTGGCTAGATCTCCTAGGTAGTTAAGATCTATTCTTATGTAATTTTTAAATAAAATAACATTTAAACCAGTTCACTAGTCATTTTCTTAAACCATCCAATAAGAGAGTCTAACATTATATAAGCAGATTTTTAATTTGTCTAAAAGATATCTATCTTAATTTAGAGCAAATCAATACACCTGGATAACAACAGCGGTATGCTAACACGTGATAATATCACATCAATATATAATTATTCTTAATTCCACCTGCAGAATGGAATGTTTATAACTATATATTCTTAGTTAACTAAGATTTCTTAATATGGAAATCTGACCGTGCTTTATCCAGTCATATATAATGCTATTAATACATTTTAATTAATTTAATTTAATTAAATGAAACCAGTATAATTACCAGTTGAGTAGATATTTCATCCGATTGGTAGTCTCTCTGCATGGAGGTGTTGGTTAGAAAGTCAGTAAATTCTAAGTGTTAGAGTTTTAGGAGTAGAGTGTTAGTCTCAGATGTTGTCCGAGTTGGAGTCCCCAAACTTCCAATTCCTCTCTCCTCTCCTTTGCATATCTTGCATCTGCCTCCTCTCTCGTCTTTTTTATCTTCCCTTTGTCTTAACTTTTAAAGGGCCAGACTCTCTGTACGTCATCAGTTGATAACCCAATAGAAGCACTAGAGGTGTGGTTATCTTCCAGATCGCAAATTAGTTATTTGGTCTATAGAGGGCAGTCTTGTCCCACTAAACATACCTATCCAGGAAAGAGTTAACTTTTCCTGGTGACTATTTTGACGTCATTTTGCGTTATCTTTATAGCGCCATAATTTAAAATTTCAAAGGGTTTCTTAAATTTTGTCCAGACTTAGCGTCTGCAATTCCTGCCATAATTTCTGATATGACAGATCATGAACTAAGTTTACCCTTTTCCATACAATGGTACCTTATATATATATAGACAGTTAAATTTTATTATTTAATCTTCTCTGTCACAATTGTCTGGGTTTAGATTTGATTATATTCTTCTTATCACTTGTTTATACTATGCTATGCATTCCTTAGCTCTGGCAAAGAGGCCAGTCTTACAGAAAGAAATCTAGTGTCTTCTTTGTTAACTTGAAATAACAAAATGGAGTCTGGTCTGTTCAGAGTGACTCAGAATATACACTTTTAGTTTCTATCATAGCACAAAATGTCTGCCGATATAAATACTCTGACATAACCCCCCTTTAGTGCATTTCATAGCCAAAATTAATTTAGCTTATGAATAAGCACTATAGAAGTTATCAGACATATTGTGCAATCACATCATTTCTAACATAGGCCCGTGCGTGGAATGAACATTTTTGTATATATTTGTACCTGTAAAAGTTTTGAACTTTACGCTTAGTACAATCAACCATAATATCATTATTACATAGTACATTATTTTCATTTGAAAAATGTTTTTGGGAGTTACATATGGTATGGTCAATAAAAAGCAAATCTCCATACGTTCCGGATCAATTAAGAGAGGTATAGCGCTCCCCATCTCAAAGGCCAGATTTAATTGCATAGGCTCAATTGTCTCTCCATCCACATTGGCAAGCATCGCATGAACAATATCCTTGGATACAAAATACAGAGGTATGCGTCCCCCTGCCAATTCGATCATTCCAGTTTGCACTTCGTCAAGAAAAGCAAGTGTGTGGAACAATATTGGGTCATGCAGAAATAGAAGTTCACGCTTAAATAAGTCATGACTTTGGTGCAACTCAGTGGATTTGGTAATTAACTCCGAATGCAAATTTGTTGTAACAACTGTGTCTTCCACAATAGTTAACACGTCTTGGAGAAGTGTTCTGTTGTATCACCTGATGAATATCGTTAATGTGTTGCTTTAGCGCATAGATTTCCATATCCAGCTTTTGGACAGTAATAGAGTTGGCTGCAGACATTCCAGTTGCGACAACTGCACCGACAGTGGCACAAACTAATGCAACAATTATAGCGGTGAGGAACCTTTTGGGTCGGTTGCTCATCGGAATAGAACTGGATACAAATGGTTTCCGGGCTTGCTCCAAGATGTTTCGCACACGGTCCTGTGCTCTTTGGAGGTGCATCTGGTACCAAGTCTGTAACTCAGGAAGCTGCATCGATGAAATGTTGTATGCCTTCTCGATGGAAATCTTGGGGTCCAAGCTGACGAACACACGTCTGGTCAGGATCCTCTTCTCTGTTAAGATGAACCCTGGTGTCTCTTGAATCAGGATGCCGGAGGATGGTCCCATCTCTGCGATCGGGTCGGTCCGTAGCTCTTGGCACAGGAGCAGTACGATCCAGAAACACGCCACATCCTTCTTGGACATCTTTCGACAGTCACGGATCAGGAACTCGTTTCAGACTTATCTACTAATGATTCAAGGTTTGTTAAGCATACAAACTTATAACAGTGTGACATCACTTGGCCTAGGACAACACATTATTACGATTCATCAACATATGTATTCTGTCTAATTCTATTTTTATAACTTCATCCCTCACTACATTTATTACTGACTCTTCAGCAATTTGCCTATAGCAGTTAAACAAGCTAGTAACCTGCTTATAAAATGTAGTTATTGGATGGCAAGGAAATGGTTAATGACATGAACGTACATGAGATCATGGCACATCACAACATTTCACATCATACTATACCACGTGAATCAAGCATTCATCCAGGTTAGTCGTTCACCCTTCTGCGTCTGAATCCACACCTATAATCCTTAATTGAGATTTAGGATGACAAGCACGCAACTGGTTAATGTGAACCCACTTTTCAATAAAATCACCATCCTTAGGAATTTTTATCTTATACGCTACTGGGGAAATTTTGTCAATGATGACATATGGCCCTTTCCAAGAAGGTAAAAATGTCTTTTCCTTTACTTGATTTCGCGCAAAGTTATACAGATAGACTTGATCTGTTATCTCATATTCCTTTTTCGTGGTTTTTAGATCGTAATAGGTCTTAACCCCTGTCGCTGCTTTTTCTAGATTCTTTTGGGCAAAAGCAAATGCATGCTGTAAATGCTTGCGCAAATCTTCGATATACTGATGCGTAGTGGCAGCATTGATCAAGTTATGATCCGAAGTACGATATAGTAAATGCTGTGGTAAAACCATCTTTCTTCCTGTCATCAATTCAAAAGGTGACAATTTGGTAGCAGTGCTAGGTGTAGCTCTAATCGCCATTAAAACTAGGGGCAATTTAATGTCCCAGTCTTTACCAGACTCCTTAACATATTTTTTCAGAATATTAACGATAGACTGGTTATATCGCTCTACCCCCCCGCTAGACGCAGCGCGGTATGCAATATGTAGCTTTCGTTTAACACCTAGAATGTTCCACATCTTAGCCATTACTTCGCTGGTAAAATGACTACCTCTGTCTGACTCAATTCTTTGAGGCAGACCGAACCTGGAAAAGACATGGTTAATCAACAAAGTGGCGCACACGGTACTCGTGTTCTCTTTACAAGGCAAACATTCTATCCACTTTGTGTACATACATGTAACGGTTAACATGTATTTGTTACCTCTTGAAGATCTTGTTACAGGACCTATAAAGTCAATTTGAATATCAGACCAGGGTAATGACACCCCCCTCTTCTGAAGTGGTGCACGATGGGTTGGACCATGGGGTTGATATTGCGGACAAATCAAGCATCCCTGACAGTATGTCTTAACATCCCTTAACATGTGTGGCCAATATGCATAATCACGCAATATCTCATATGTGATCTTATCACCACGATGCCCAGATGTAGGTGCATCATGTGCGTGTTGGAGCATTAACCCTCTGTATACAGTTGGGACTACCCATTGTTGTATACCATGTTTAGAAGTTCTGACCAGTAACCCATCCATGATACTAAATTGGACTTTATACCTCATCAAGATTCGTAAATCTTCATTATTTTTGCAATCCTCATCTGTGATGGGATTGCAGTAGGGTCTTCTATATGTCTATAGAAAATGCCTATGACGGGATCACTCTTTTGACTAGTAATCAGGTCCTCACTAGGAGCTTCTTGACTCCATTGCACGACATTTAAGTCGGCATTATCTCTAGCCTGTCGTCTTGTTATGGCTTCAACATGAATTGAACCCATAAGATCATCAATGTTTAGGGTTTCACCATTGATGGCAGCTTGTTTTGCCAGTGAATCAGCTAAGTCATTACCATCCTTGTCAATACCTTCTATTTTAGAATGGCCTTTGGTTTTCTTCCAATATATGGATAAACCATTTTCCTTAACCAGCTCATCGATTTTACAAAACAATTTCCCATGTTTAACAGGTTTGTTATTGCTTTTCAGCATTTGGTTTCGTTTCCAGCTAGGCAGATATTCGACAAAACTGTTGCGAACATAGTTGGAATCAGTTATGACAACAAATTCTTTGATACCATATTCTATTGCCATTTGAATGATCTTATATACTGCACAGAGTTCGGCTATCTGACTGCTTTTGGGACCAATATTATATCCTATAGATACATTGGGATAATCACCTATCCAGGCGATTCCGATACCTGCAACTAACTTCCGTTCAGTACCAACTACGTGGTGATATGAACAACCATCAATGTATACCCACGGTAGTGGTCGACAGTATTCCTCGTCATAAACTTTATAAGGAGATAGCAATTGCTCTTCTAGGAAGTCATCTCCGGTGTCATTATCATCCAGAGATGGAGCAGTACAGTCATGTAATTCTGCTAAACCTTGGGCAACTGGGCTTCTCTTATTATGTTTATAACGGACTTCTAGCGGCCATCCCTGTAAGGATAGAGTCCATGCAGTAATCCGACTGTTAGAGAGATTACCGTCTCTAATTCTTTCACTCTGCAGATACTGTAGAGGTTGGTGAGCTGTTTCTACAATTATTTTCTCACCTTGGATATAGCTACGAAAATTTTGTAGTGCCCAGACAGTCGACAATAACGCCTTCTCACACGTGTTGAATTTAACTTCAACAGGTGACAAAGTCTTGCTAGCATATGCAATAACTTTGTTTAAACTGTCCTGCTTCTGATACAGAACAGCACTGATGCTTAAATTGGTATAACCTGTCTCCAGATAGAAGGGTTTACCCCCCTCTGGGTATGCTAAACAGGGTGCCTGAGTGAGCTTCCTCCTCAGTTCACTTACCGCTTGGTCCTGAGCAGGCCCGGACTGGCCATCGGGCACACCGGGCAAATGCCCGGTGGGCCGCGATGGCCGTGGGGCCGAGGCCGGCAGGGGATCTCCCCGGCCGGCCCCTGCAGGGCCAGCGCTATCCGAGCGCCGGCCCTGCTGTGTGCCTCCATGGGCCGGTGGGGAGATCAAAGATCTCCCTCACCGGCCCACAGGCAGGGAGATGCGGCCGCCGGCTGGGTGAGGGAGGGAAGGAGGAGAGCTCTAACAAGCAGCTCCGCCGGGTCCTCTCGCGAGATTCTGAGCGTTGCCGCGGTTACCGTTACCACGGCAACGCTCAGATCTCGCGAGAGTGAACTCTAACCACTGGACCACCAGGGAATGCAGCAAGGCTCCCCCTCCCAGGCAGAACGGCTCCCCCTTCCCTCTCCCAGGCTAAAGGTAAGAAGGGAGGGGGGGGGTGGGGGGGGAGAGAGACATAACTTAAAAAAAAAATAAATTATTAATAAAAATATATATATATATTTAAAATTAATTCCCAAACAGCACCCCCAGACACACACTGCACCCCAGACACACAACACAGCACCCCAGACACACACACACAGCACCCCACACACACACAGCACCCCCAAACACACACAGCAACTCCCCAGACACACACACACAGCACCCCCAGACACACACACACAGCACCCAGACACACACACAGCTAACCCCAGACACACACACACAGCACCCCAGACACACACACACACAGCACCCCAGACACACAGCACCCCAGATACACACACAGCAACTCCCCAGACACACACACACAGCAACCCCCAGACACACACACACAGCACCCCAGATACACACACAAAGACCCCCAGACACACACACAGCAACTCCCAGATACACACACACAGCACACACACAGCACCCCAGACACACACAGCACCCCCAGACACACACACAGCACCCCCAGATACACACACACAGCACCCCCAGATACACACACACAGCACCCCCAGATACACACACACAGCACCCCAGACACACAGCACCCCAGACACACAGCACCCCCAGATACACACACAGCACCCCCAGATACACACACAGCACCCCCAGATACACACAGCACACCCAGAGACACACATATATATAAAATAACCCTCAGTGAGTTAACAGACAAAGAAAATTAGAAACCTAGAATGTGACGGCAGATAAAAACACCCTAACACACAGCACCCCTCTTACACAAACACACTGCGCACCTCACACATACAATACGTCCAAATATATATATATACACACACACTACAGCACCCCTCACACTGCACCACTACACACATTACGCTCCAGATACACGCTAGATCCCTTACCCTATATGCACTCTTAATCCTCTACACACACACACACACACACACACACACACACAATCTTCTATACACACTCTGGGTCCTTTACACGCTAGATCTCTTACACACACACAGTGCACCACCTACACACACACTACATTCCTTGTAAGCAAACACATAGAACATTCTCTAAACACACCCTCTCTACAACCCCTACACACACTACGCCACCTATACACACACACTACTGCCCATATGCACACACTCGCTACATCCCCTATAACACTATGCCCCTATACACGCACTCTCTACAGCCCCTAGCCACACATATTACACCACAAAATCGACCTATTTACACAATACCACACCACACTCTACACACAGGCAATCCCACAAGCAGGCTCCAAACACATGCACCATACACTTTCCTGGCCCTTTTGTCCTCTTGTGGAGACACCAGAGACAATTTAAAAGCAAACACAGTGCAAGCATGTTATTACATTTGTTTGCGCTGGGCAGAACAAATACAGGGCCTTTTTCTAATGCCAGAGCTCTTCAGCAGGGCTCTGGGCATTGAACCAACATGCTCACTTTCAGAGGGGGCGTGCTTGTCATTAGTGATGACAAAACACACCCTCTCTGGCCCCGCCCCCTTCTTGGGGGGCCGCTCTAATTGAAAAATGCCCGGGCCTAATTTTTTTCCCAGTCCGGCCCTGGTCCTGAGGCTCCCCCCAGTTCCAGGTAGTTTCCTTTTTAAGCAGGTGTAAGAGTGGTTTAGTTATTTCTGCATAGTTGTCTATAAACTTACGGGAGTAATTAGTCATACCAAGGAGCGATCTTAATTCCCTGATGTTTGAAGGTGTTTTAGCCTTTAGTACGGCTTCAACCTTCTTCCTCTGGGGATTTAATCCTTCAGAAGTTACCTCATGTCCGAGGAAATTGACATGGGTGCGACACCATTGTGCCTTTTGTAAAGACAGTTTAATCCCTGCCTCTCTTAACTGAGTGAGAACATGTCTAATTTCTAAGATATGTTTATCAAAGGAAGTGCTTTTCAGCAAGACATCGTCGACATATGATAACGTTCCTCTCTCGAGTGCGTCAGGCATAGCTTTATGCATGAACACAGCGAATTCATGACCAGAGTTTATATAACCGAAAGGCATACGGGTCCAGGTATACTGCTGTTTTCCAAATGTGAAGGCCAATTTGTATTGGTCTTCATTATGGACTGGTACAGTCCAATATCCCTGCGCACAGTCAATGGCAGTGAATATTTTGGATCCCTGCATTTGTACCAAACATTGGTATATGTATGGTGTTGGCCAACCAGACATATAGACGCGTTTATTTAGCTGTCGTAAATCAGCGCATAAACGCCATTGTCCATTAGGTTTCAGAATCCCCAAGATTGGATTATTATACGAACTGTGCACTGGACGTATAATGCCCCTTTCCTTTAAATTCTGAATGATGTCTTGTAGACCATCATATGACGCTAATGGGAGTCTATATTGTTTGATAAATACAGGTGGTAAATTAGGATCAGAGAAAACAGAAAAAAGGCTGCGCCACAGAAAATAAATAAAACAAGAAAAGATAAAACTCGATGAGAAAATAAAATAAATAATAAAAAAAAAAAAAAAAAAATGGTGCATGGTGCATTGCGGGTCACGTGACACGCTCAAGATTTCGTTATCTATTCAATTTGTCTAATATTACAATATACAAACCTCGTTTTCTAATTATATTAACACTCATAACTCCTTATGTTCAAATAGGTTAATACTGTGCATTATTGTTAAATTTTGTTTATGTACTTTTTATTTATATTCAGCTCTGCTCTGATTGGTGCCTGCTTTTTTGGCGCCAATTTTGATTGTATGTATAAGCTATATATACTCCCTATGTGCCAGGGACTTACACTATCCCAATTTGATAAAGCCTGCTGGCGAAACGCGTTATTGGTTTTAATATATTGTATTAATAAATAATAATTTTACATATATTACCTTTCTATACTATTTTATTCTGTTCCTGGCATATCCTAAGGTGGGGATTATACCACCCACGCGAACAACAGAGTGCAGTAAGTCCTGCACTCTATTTGTGAGTATATTTTATTTATTTTTATCCTTTTATGCTATTATTTCTCCGGAGAGCACTATCGGCTGTTTTTATTTATTTCTTTTTATGAGAATTGGATACCAGCACCCCCCAAGAGGAAAAGTACCCCTATAAGCGGAGGGTAATCCGCTGTGTGCCTATCATACTAGAGCTGGTCCTAGCTCATGGACATGTGAGTGTGCAATTTATATTTTTACCTCACTATTATTTTTCTGTACATTCTGCACGATTAGTCCTTTCCCATTGTGTTTTTCATATCGGGAGATGGACAACTGTTAACAAAGAAGATACCACATCAGCCAAGACACCACCTACTATTGGGACTTTTATACTGAATATATAATATTTTTTTTATTATTTATTTTATTTTATTTTCTCATCGAGTTTTATCTTTTCTTGTTTTATTTATTTTCTGTGGCGCAGCCTTTTTTCTGTTTTCTCTGTATATTTGTTCCATAGAGGGTTAGAGGGTGACCCCCTATTAGGTTGCTGCCTTTTATTTCATTTTATTTGCTTTTATTATTAGCGCTAGCCGTTCCAACTTTTTCGGTAAATTAGGATCAGTTTGTATTCTGGCTACGTGGAGGTTAGTTAACCCACAGTCGTAGGAATCTTTGGCAAAAATATCTTGGAATTCCAAAAGGATTTCCTTTAGCTGTTGCCGCTCAGCATCGTTGGAGCAACCGTCAGCTAAAGATATTTGCTCTTCTAGCCTTTCCTGAAATCCTGGGAAGATTTCAGGCTGGCCTATCTCATAAGCTTCTTCAAGCCTAGAAGTTAGGTCAGTTCGGTGTTGACTTACCTTTTCTCTTTGGTCGTGATACTCTTGTGATTCCTGCTCATTGAGCGGATGATCGAAGGTAATTGATGCTTCTTCGATTTTACACGAGCCTTCTTCAACGTTGAAGGGATATACAGATAGGATAGTGAATAATCCTTCTGGGGAGGAATGGAATATTTGATCGACAATTTCGTCCTCAGTTAAGTATTCTTCAGGGATGAGGCCTATAATTTGGTTTTGGAAACCAAATGTATAGTACTCAGCATCTAATGCTAGACCTAATGATGTTCCTTTTGGTAAAGTAACACTATTGGGTGTAACATTGTTGACCATGATATAGGTGGGATTCTTACCAATACTTACCATTGGTGTATGTGTTACCACCATCCCTAATTGTTGTATCTTGTTAGATAAACAGATTAGGGCATCAGAGTTTTCCAATCTCTGACCCTCCTTTACCTGTAGGGGTAAAAGAAAATTACTTGTCCCCTGTGGAATGGTTATGTCATCAGGAACTTGGATACTTACCGCATATGGGAGTATTTGTCCTGATTTCAGGGCGTTTTCCTCGTGTAGGTATCCACAAGGATTACCTTTTAACCTTGTCCACAAGTTGGAATTAATCAGGTCAAGGTGTATGGCAAAGCGATGTATGACATCATTGCCAACGTAAACCTGATAGCGAGGTTCGTTTATCACTAGGAATAAATGTTTAACTGTCTTATTTCCGATGGAAATAGATAGTAAACATTTTGCTATCACATTGTAACTCTCTGATTCGCCATCCAGATTCTGGATCCACCTGTCATGTGGGGAAGCGTACCTGATCATTTTAGGATTAGCGATCTGCTTTAACAGACTTCTGCTAATATAGCTGTTCTCACTCTGTAAATCCAGCTTTGCATTCCTACTTCTTCCTAAGTCATTTATTTGCATAGGAAAGAATAAATTGTTATTAACCCTTTCAATTCTGGCAAGGAATTGAGCATGACCTGCCAGATCTACAGATTCAACATAGTCCCTGTGGAGAGAAATGGTTAAAACATCACCTTCCAGAGAGACATTCTGGATCCTCTCTGGAGCAATTCTTATGGAATGCTCATCTACAGGTGCGATTGCATCATTCACCTGCAGGATAGTCACGTCAGGCGACGGACTATTTCTAAAATGTACCTCAATCGAGTCAGGTCTTTCTTCTATCACATGGCAGTTACGATCAGATTGTACATGTGATTTCTCATAGGTTATGGGAACCTTAGCTTGTGACCACACAATTCCATTTACACAGTCAATAATTGTGTTAAGTCTTCTAAGTATGTCTATACCCAGAATCAGTCGGTCATAGGGGAGATCTACCACTATCACCGGGTGTCTAAAGGTTTTGTTACCTATTTTAAACTTTAACCAAGTATTGCCAATAACATGAAGGGCATTTCCTCCTACACTCAACAGAGCATTGGGGAAATCTCTTAGCTTCGGCTTATCCGTTGCTAAGTCCATTACCTGCTGGAAGTAGGTATTGGATAAGATAGTGGCTTGTGAACCAGTATCTATTAACCCTTTAAAAGGCTGGGGTAGCGAATCCTGTATTTCTACAGACATGTAGTACCTTCCTTCATGTTCTTCTAATTCACATAAGAATTTAGAATGTGTCAACATATTACTTGTTTTCCATACATTACCGGTCACAGCAGTAGTTTCTACCTGTACTGAGGAATGCTCAGTCTTACCCACAGGCCCATCCCTTTCAGGAATATCTTGAACTGTCAAGCGGGAACTAGTGGTCGGCATCTCATCAGTTAACCCTTTCAGGTCTGGATCCTGGAAACTAGTGGTTGCTGGGGCTACTTTAGCCTTTGGCTGAAATGAAAAAACAGAGGAACACGTTGCGCCTCCTTCACCCGAAAGTGAAGTGACGGGATAGGCAATAGGTTTCCTAACACAACTATTGTTTGTTTGACTATGAGTACCTGGAAAGGAAACAGGGTTAGGTATTACATCTACTGATAACCTAGCCTGTTTAGTCACAGTGGCTATTATTGCTGCGGCACCTGTTGTTGTTGCTGCGGTTGCACAGGTAGTTCTGCAATTGGAGCTATCCCTAAAAAAGGATTTCTGGCAAAGACTTCGTTAATCTTTGTCATTCCCTCCATTAATTTGCCCATCTGGTCTGTCAATTGACCAACCTGACGACGCAAATTATTTCCCCCATTGCCGTTTTGTCTTTGCCCATTAGAATTTGGCTGGGATGGCTGAGACTGTTGGGAGTTATTGGAAGCAGATTGGTTATTTCTGTTTCCATATCTCCTATTTCCCTGAGGATTCCTTCTCCATTGGGAATTGCCTTGGTTCTTATTAACCCAGGGGCGTTTATTCCCATTGGCATTGGATTTTTCAGAGTTATTAGAGGAATTTGCAGAATTGCTTCCTGCGTTTTCCTGTTTCTGAGGTTTTGGAGATTTCAAAACCTCAGAATAGGTCCTCTTTTTCTGTTGGGTTTCTAAACCTAACTGAATTTTAGTCTCTGACACCATTTTATCACCAGGTTTCTTAACCTTTAGCTGATTTTCATCATGTGCATGGTGTATAGTATACAATTTCATACACTGACTGACTAGCCATTCTAATGGCAACTTACAATCGTAATCTCTTGCGAGATTCATTTGTATGTTTACTGGTATGGCATGAAAATACAGATCTTTGAAGTCTGTGCTTTCATACCTGGGTTTTCTTTGGGCCACGGAGTATGCATTTTTAAGAATTACAGGGAGTGCAGAATTATTAGGCAAATGAGTATTTTGACCACATCATCCTCTTT